GCTTCTCGGAAACCGAATCCGATTGCGCTTTTCCAAGCAAAAATTAGACTTTGCTTCTCAAAATCCAAATTGAATTGCGCTTCCCAAGTAAAATTTGACTTCACTTCTCAGAATCCGAATTGGATTGCGCTTTTCCAAGTAAAGTTTGACTTCGCTACTCGTAAATCCAAATTCGATTGAGCTGTTCCAAGTAAAATTTGACTTCGTTTCTCGGAAATCTAAATTAGATTGCGCTGTTCCAAGTCAAATTTGACTTCGCTTGTCGGAAACCGAATTCGATTGCGCTTTTCAAGTAAAATTTAAACTTTGCTTCACGAAAATCCAAATTCAATTGGGCTTTCTCAAGTCAAATTTGACCTCGCTTCACGGAATCCAAATTCGACTGCGCTTTTCCCAGTAAACTTTGACTTCGCTTCTCGAAAATCCAAACTAGATTGCGCTTTTCCAAGTAAAATTTGACTTCGCTTCTCAAAAATCCTAATTCGAATGCGCTTTTCCAAGTAAAATTTGACTTTGCTTCTCAAAAATCCAAATTGAATTGCGCTTTCCCAAGTAAAATTTGACTTCGCTTCTCGGAATACAAATTCTAATGCGCTTTTCCAAGTCAAATATGACTTCGCTTCTCAGAAACCGAATTCAACTGCGCTCTTTCAAGAAAAATTTAAACTTTGCTTCACGAAAATTCAAATTTAATTGCGCTTTTTAAAGTAAAATTTGACTTCACTTCTCGAAAATCCAAATTGAATTGCGCTATCTCAAGTAAAATTTGACTTCGCTTCTCAGAATCCAAATTCAATTGCGCTTTCTCAAGTACAATTTGACTTCGCTTCTCGGACTCCAAATTCGACTGCGCTTTTCCCAGTAAAATTTGACTTCGGTTCTCGAAAATTCAAATTCTATTGAGCTTTTCCAAGCAAACATTTGACTTTGCTTCTCAAAAATCCAAATTGAATTGCGCTTTTTCAAGTAAAATTCGCGGAATCCAAATTCGATTGCACTTTTCCAAGTCAAATTTGACTTCGCTTCTGAAAAATTCTAAATTCTAAACTTTGACTCCGCTTCTCGGAAACCGGATTCGATTGCGCTTTTCCAAATAAAATTTTGGGTCGCTTCTTGTAATGCTAAAAGCTTTTTCTCGAAGTTTCTTCCAGGAAGCTTTTTCTAGGAAGCTTCTTCTAGAAACTATTTAGGTAGCTTATTTCAGAAAGCTCTTGCTAGAAGCTAATTTCTGAAAGCTTATTTTACAAGTTTCATTCTGGAAGTTTATTTTTAGAAGCTTCTTTCTTGAAGCTTCGTTCAGAAATATCTTTCCAGAAGGTTTATATAGAAGCTTAATTGCAGAAGATTCATTCTAGCAGCTTCTTCCTAGAGGATTCTTTCTAGTCGCTTCTTCTAAAAGATTCTGTCTTGAAGATTCTTCTAGAAGCATCTTTCTGTGATCTCCATCTAGAATCTTATTTCTTAGGTTAGGTAAGGTTAGGTTTCATTAATAAAGAGACATAACCTATTTCTTCAAGAAGCTTCTTCCTAGAACCTTCTTCTTAAAGCTTCTTTTATGGTTTGGAAGCTTTTGCTAAAAACCCTTTTTTAAGGTTGCTTCTTCGAGGAAGCTTCTTCTAGAAGATTATTTCTGGAATTCTTTCTAGATGCTTCCAAAAAGATTATTTCTTGAAGCTTCTTCTACAGGCCACCTGCTGGGAGCTTCTTATAGAAGCTTATTTCTTCAGAGAGGTTATTTGTCTAGAAGCTTTTTCCTAAACCGTTTTTCTCAAAGCTTCTTTTATCGTTTAGAAACTTCTTCCAGGAAGCTTCTTCTAGAAAATTTACTTAGGTAGCTTCTTTCAGAAAGCATATTCTAGAAGCTTCTTTCTCAAAGCTAAAATATCCAGTTTTGAAGCTTCATTATGAAGTCTATTTCTTGGGCTAGGTTAGGTTATTTTTCATCTTAAAGAGACATAACCTATTTCTTTTAAAAGCTTCTTTAAGAAACCTTTTTAGATAGCTTTTTTGAGGAAGCATCTTCTATATACTACTTTGTGAAAGCTTCTTCTATAAGCTTCTTTCTTGAAGCTTCTTCTATAAGCTTCTTTCTTGAAGCTTCTTCTAGAAGCTTCTTCTAGAAGCTTCTTTCTTGAAGCTTCTTCTAGAAGCTTCTTCCTGAAAGCTTCTTCTAGAAGTTTATTTCCTGCGTTCTTTCCAGACACTTCTTCTAAAAGATTATTTATTGAAGCATCCTTCTGGGAGCTCCTTCTAGAAGCCTATTTCTTGTAGGAGCTTATTTTTTCTAGAAGCTTCTTCCTAGAATGTTCTTCTCGAAGCTTCTTTCTAGAAGCTTTTTTCTAAAAGCTTCTTTCATCGTTTAGAAGCTGCTACAACAAACATTTTTTATGTAGCTTCTTTCAGAAAGCTTATTCTAGAAGCTTCATTTTTAAACTTTTTAGAAGCTTCATTCAAAAGCATATTTTTGGAAGGTTTTTATAGACGTTTAATTGTAGAAGATTCTTTCTAGCAGCTTCTCCTACAAGATTATTTCTAGACGCTTCTTCTAAATGATTCTGACTTGAAGCTTCTTCTAGGATCTTCCTCCTGGAAGCGTCTTCTAGAAGCAACTTCCTAGAACCTTCTTTTCAGAGCTTCGTTTAAAAGCTTCTTCAAGGAAGCTTCTTCTAGATTTTTTTAAATAGCTTCTTACAGAAAGCTTCTCTCTTGAATCTTCTTCTAGAAGCTTCTTTTAGAAATGTGTTTCTGCTAGTCTCTTTCTGTGAGTTTTTCTTTCAGAAAGTTTCTTTCTATACGCTTTTTTATAAAAGCTCAATTTATCGTTTAGAAGCTTCTTCGAGAAAGCCTCTTTCTTGAAGTTTCTTTCTGGAATTATCTCTTATTAGCTTATTCTAAGAAGCATCTTCCTGAAAGCTTCTTTTAGAAGTTTCTTTCTGGAAGCTTAATCTAGAAGCTTAGTTCAAAAGCTACTTTTTAGAAGGTTCTTATAAGAGCTTAATTGTACAATATAATTTTCAGCTGCTACTTCCTAGAAGATTATTTCTAGACGCTGCTCCTAAAAGATTCTGTCTTGAAGCTCCTTCTAGAAGCCTATTTCTTCTAGAAGCTTCCTAGAACCTGCTTCTCAAAGCTTCTTTGTAAAAGCGAATTTTATCGTTTAGAAGGTACCTCCAAACAATTTTCAAAAATGATCCAAAAAACGCCAAACATGGCCCAAGCCGTCGAAAAATCTCAAAAACGAGAAAAAGTGGTGCCAAAAATAGTCAAACATTGTCAAAAATCCCAAAACAGGCAACAAATGTCAAATTGGCTTTGCTTAAAGATTTCAAATTATGGCCCACAAAACTCAAACAATTTTGCGAAAATATTAAAAAGGGGCTGAGCCATTTCTAAAAATGATCCAAAACAACGCCAAACATTGCTCAAATACGTCGAAAAGGACCAGAAAACCGAGAAAAATGGTGCCAAAAACTGTCAAACATTGTCAAAATTCGCACACGTCAAATTGTCAAAACACGCAACAAATGTGAAAATGGTCTAGGCTTTCCAAACTCTCTTAAACATTCTTAAGTGCGTCGAAAAACGCCAAAAATTGTGCGCCGTAAAACGCCAACAAAGTCAAAATGGCCCAAACACGTCGAAAAGGCCTGAAAAACGAGAAAAAGTGGTGCCAAAAATGGTCAAACATTGTCAAAATTCCCAAAACACGGAACAAATGTCAAAATGGCATTGTTTAAAAATTCCAAATTGCACCAAAAATGGCCCGAAAAACACCAAAAATGGTCCAATTTGACTTTTCGTAATTGTTTGTTTTATTGGCTTCGTCAAGGTCATTCTATGCCTCTCTTAGCTCTTGTAAAATATCAGAAGAGCAATTTCAGGCCAAACAGCAAAAATAAATGATGATCCGATTTACATGAAATTGTTAAGGCCAATCATTCACATTTTTGCAAAAAAATCGACTATTTTGGATCTAGTATTTTTACTTTTCAAAATGGCGGCTTTGACGTTTTTCAACAAATTGCAGCACGAAAACGTCACTTCTGAACGAAATGACGTCTGAGGCAAAGTTGCTGACAAAAGTAAAGTCTTTTTGGGATGCAAACAATATACATGGTAATTATGAGTAAACATTCCAATAAAGTAAAAACGATAATACATTGCATAATTTTTGATAGAGCTGGAATTAGGGCGTAGCAGCTTTTGTAGACAATGACTTCTCTCGATGATTTCTAAGAATTCAAGGCACACCCACACAAATCGACGTAAACATCGGGTAGGGAAAGACTTCCCCTACCTGATGCTTATGTTGATTTGGGTGGGCGAGCTTAGACTTTTTAGAAATCATCGATATAAGTCATTGTTTACAAAAGCTGTTACGCCCTAATTCCAGCTATACCTAGAATTGTTTGTTATGGACAATCATTAGCATGATACCGTATCAGCTGTAATTACACAGAGAACCCATGACGGTGCTTGGGAATTTTCTTGAAGTTATACAACGTTCCCTGAGCTTCTGTTCTCTTAACGTCTAAGAATTGTCCTTTACTTCTAAGAAGTTCCCTGAACTTCTGTAAAGACTCAGTTTTATAAATTGGATTTTGTTAGTAGCAGTAAAGATTTTGAAGACATTTCGTCTATCTCGTTGAATACCCTGGCCACACCCTCACTCCGTCTATATTGGTGTATTGACGAGCTTATGACATTTTTCTAACTGGGTCGCAATCGGACAAAACATTGAGAACCGCTGGGTTAGAGTAAGGATGATCATAGTTAGCGTGCAAAGCAAAACAGTTTCAGAGTCAAGGCAACAAGCAATAAGTATCGTCGAACGAGCGAATTTGAATAACAAAAAGAAGAAAAAAACGCCAAGCGTTTTCAGATCCTAGTCTCTCGGAATGGAATATTCATCGGTTTTGGTACAGGTCGTTTGAAATTCTTGAATTTCAAAGAAGAATACATATTCTACAAAGGGAGATAGGAATCGAAATCGCACTTACGCCCCAGAAGAATTTGGCTGCTCGCTTTTCGAAGCTGCTCCCAGTAGGCTGCTTCTAGCTGCTGCTGCTGTCTTCGGTAATTGAGGCCTACTGTTGCGATCCACTTTGATTACGAATTCCCGAACTCAATAATATATTCGACCGCACCTATTTCTTATTCTTCCTCGTCGCAAGTCGACAATGTTTACACACGTAATTGCATGCGGACTTCACTCATCGGTAACGAATTAATTTCATTGCACAATTACCGCACCATCATCATTAGCATCATCGGAATCATCTGGTTGCAATCTTCTTCCACGTGAGCTTAGCGCTGCAGCAGCATCACCATCATCCACAAGAGAAATTTGCCGCAACCCGTGCCCAATCCGCCGATTTAGGTAAATATAATTCTAATTTTATAAACGCTCTCTTATTCGCACTTTTCGCCTACTATAATTCTACGGTTTTGAAGATCAGCAACCACTCTTCTCGCCTTCCGCCTCCTATGATATGATGGGAGAACGCGTGCGGCTGTTGCTGCAGTTGCGCACACCACTACACATTCGTCGTCACTGCGCGATTTCGTCTAAACACGACACAGCAAATAATAATACACAATACTCTTCGCCCTGGGCAACCGCCTTCTTCGATCGACGTGTGCGCGCATATAAATGTATGTGCAACAAAATAAAAAAGCGCGAGTAAGATTTTTATGAATGAATCAAACTGCTTCACCCTCTTCTTCTTCTTCTGCCTTCTCCTGTCGCCGCTTCTTCACCTTTCTTGGCTTGTTCAGCTTGATTTTTTCATTTGTATCACACCCGGCTCGCGTTTGCCTTCATGCGACTTCCTCGCGCGACTACTACTTCACCCGTCGTCCGCCGTCCGTCACTGCGCGGCCGTCCTAACAACGACTTGACTGTTTTTTTTCCTCTGTCGGTTTCTCGGTATCAGTCTTCGTGTTCTTCTTTGGGTCGAACCTCGATGGAACACACGAAAAAAAAAACTACGAAATCAAAATAATTTCCTTTTATAAAACACGACGGCCAAACTGCCGCAGCCCTCAATGCGCTGCACCGAAACACAGACGTTACTCAAATCAAAACTGTCGCCTCCGCGAAATACGATACACTCACGATACTTTTTTTTTCCGCTCCTCTCGTTGATTCGTCGTTGCTCGATTTGAAAGATTCAAACTCAAGAAAAGTTTAAAACAGCCATCTTCAACTTGCTCTAGTTCTGCGCTGCCCAATGCAGTTCATTGAAACTCCTTATCAACTGGTCGGCACTGATAGCGATTGCTGCTCGCCCTCCTCTTCACTCTCTTGCTCAGTTTTGTGCTTCACACTGTACACTTTTTCTCCTCGCCAAAAAAAAATTACCATCCAAGTAAGTCGCGGTATTCTTCTTCAATCACTTCGCACGACGCGCAACTGTCAAAACATACCCCCTTTTCTTCCCCGAATGAACGAGGGTGGAAGTCCTTAATATTTTCCTCTCGCCAAATTCGCCGAGCAGATCCTCCAATCGATGACACAAAACTCCCAACGCGCACTCTTCTTGTCCAGCTTCTACTCAGAACGGCTCAACACAAACTAATCTGATCAACGCTCGTGCACTGGTGTGGAGGGAGGACTACTGACTGGATGTGTTTCGGAATGTGTAGGTAAAGAGTCTTTTCGTTTTCGTTTCGCGCAACACCACACACTCTGGCATTTAGAGCCGCCAGAGAGCTGAATCAACAGAACGGAGTCGCACCCACACACAGTGCACCAGCAACAAGCAATGTCGTCCACCACTGGTCTTGCAGCGAGAACTCACCATCTCCCTCGCTCCTTTCAAACGGCGAAGCAATGAAAGAGACAACTAATCCCTTTCTGCCAGACCTGTTGCTCACCTCTTCCATCTGACTAGCAACGCAGCAGTGGCTCAAACCGCGCCGCGGCCGAACCAGATAGTAGTGTGCGAGAGCCGCAAAATGTAAATATGAATGGTTCACCAGTGGCAAGCGACGGCTGTGTGCGAGTCGAGTGCGGCTAGAAGAGTAGGCACTCTTCGATTTTTATGAATGAAATTACCCACACACACAGCCGCACACCGCAACGCAACAAGCAGGCGGCGATCGAAGAGGTCCGGTCTGACCGATCGCTCGCTAAGGACCGGTCGGTTGCACACACTTGTAAACATCCGAAGAGTAGTTGGCTGTGGTCTGGTTTGCTTGCTCTTCTAACTTCTCTGATGGGGAAGAATAATATATCTCTGAAAGTTTGGAAATGAAAGGGAAAAAAAAAACGGGAATAAGACGCGTGTGCCTTTTGGCCGTACTTTCGGCTTGAAATAAATAGTAAACAGACAAAAGAAGAACGTCGAGCTTAGATGCAGGAGGGAATCCTAGGAAGCTCCAGAGCTGAGATAGAGTCGGATTTTAATTTTAGCAGTTTAATCGGATTAATTCAGAGCGTTAGAGATTAGTCATCAAATGAATCATGATTAATTATTCAGATTAACGATTAATCATAATCGCTCATATTTTTTTTGGTTAAATCTAGTTCGTTTATTGAAAGGCTTAATCGCTTTAGCTTTACGGAGTCGATGATTCATTGTTTCGTTACTCATTAATTATAATAACTGAACAAATCCACAGTTTGCGCAATACTGCTCTCAAGATCACATTTTCATCACGCAACAAGCCGACTAAACCTGTACATTAGGGTGGTTCAAAATGCAGTTTTTTTTCTAAATCAGGTCCTTTTAAAAATGTCTGCTATGGGTGCGATCTCATACTGCACTGGCACTTTTAAGTTTATATGGGAATTACTATGGGAAAAGTAAACCTTTAGTTCCTCTCATCCTAGCCTTTTGCTATAATGATTAACATGTTACTATACTTACTTCAGCTAGCTAACACGTACATAATTATGATGCAAGGTTTTTCCTTAGTAATTCCAATATAAACTTCAAAGGGTCAGTGCAGTATGAGATCATAACCGAATGAGCTCAAATTTTGGGAGATTGATCAAGAGCTTATTTATAATCAATTGAGCTTGGTGGAGCAAAATCAATATTTTGAACCACCCTACTGTACATAATTCAAGCATAAGTACATCCCACTATGAAAGGTAAGCTTCTATTATCGATTTGAATAAAAAAAGCTATATAATTGTAATGCATCACCGCTAGAACAGATTCTGTAATGTGGTTGTCAGAAGGTTTTTGTAAAAATATTTTGTAAATGGGACCACGCAAGTGTGCGAGTTAGAAACGTCAGAAAGGTCAATTAAAATCAAAACCATTAGATCGATCTCGCAAAGATCGATTCTTTGGTACCGATTTAATCAGTGGATCGATTCTAGAGCCAACTATAAGATCGATCCGTCAAGATAGAGCTTTCTCTGAAGATCGCCCAATCCTAGCAGACACGAAGTGATGAAAGTTTCGGGTCGCGTTCGGATTTAAGGTAAACATTTTGAAACTCAAACTCACCACAGTTTGGTGAGTTTTGTTAGCTTGATATTCTGAGCAACAATATCACAGCTTGCAATTTGATCCGCTGTTGTTCGCTTGTTGATATTTTGTCTACGAAAATTAAGCTTGCTCATGGTCATTGGTGATATTTGATTGTACAAGATCCAGTGCTCCGTCTTCTCTCCCAGCTGGTTCAGAATTGTTAACCTCTGTTTGAGTTCATCGACCAATGCATGTATGGCCGATGCTGACTCCTTCTACACCTTACACACTTAATCTAGCTCGGTAAAATCTCCAACAGCCGATAACCTCGGCATTTACTTTTGCTGATATCTCTGCAAAATATCTGTTTGTTAGCTGATATCTCAGCAAAATGTTATTTGTTAGCTGAGTCTCGGCAATTGTTTGACTGAATCTCAGCCAAAAAAATTGCAGAATTACTCGGCTGTTGGAATCTTGGCGAAAATTTTTAAGTGTGTAGGGTACTCCATTAACGCCTGCAAATGCCTCTTCTTAAGGAGATACTCATTTGAATACTGCTTCGAAATCGTTTCCCACGCGATGATGTAGTTCTCACTGGTGAGCGTGAACGATTCCATGAGTTTGGCTGCTTCACCTTTGAGCGCTGGCTTGATATAATGGAACTTTTGGACTTCGCTCAGCTCCCCGGACTCATGAATCAATGAAATGTAGGTTAATTTGAACGACAACCAGCTCATGTAGTCACAATCGAACTCCGGAAGCGAACAGTATTAACGCCCAAAGCACTGGCATTCCGTGCCATTGTGTTGTCTAACTCATGTCCTGAAGCCTTTGTTGGCAGTTTCGCTAGCAAAGCTGCACGAAGCGCACAGTAGATTTTCTCGAACTCAACGTGAGCCTTGCCGTAATCCTCATCGTACTTTTCTTCAGCGTCCACCACAGCAATCTCATCATGCACTTCCTCGAACTCCTCGTACTTCGCATCGATTTTATCCAACCGCGATTGCACTTGATCCGCATGGGCATCTGGAGTGAATTCCTCCAGGAATTGCTCATGCCTGCTTACTGAAGCGACAAAGCAAAACTGCTTTTTCGACCAAGAAAATAATCAAAAACAACCAGGAAGTACCGTGAGGAATTTCTTCTACCTTCTCGGAGGGATTTCTTCTACCATTTTGGAGGAATTTCTTCTACCTTCTCGGAGGAATTTCTTCTACCTTCTCGGAGGAATCTCTTCTACCTTCTCGGAGGGATTTCTTCTACCATTTTGAAGGAATTTCTTCTACCATTTTGGAGGAATTTCTTCTACCTTCTCGGAAGAATTTCTTCTACCTTCTCGGAGGAATTTCTTCTAATTTCTCGGAGGGATTTCTTCTACCATTTTGGAGGAATTTCTTCTACTTTCTCGGAGGAATTTCTTTCTACCTTCTGAGGAATTTCTTCTACCTTCTCTGAGGAATTTATTCTACCTTCTCGGAGAAATTTCTTCTAATTTCTTGGAGTAATTTATTCTACCTTCTCTGAGGAATTTCATCTACCTTCTCGGAGGGATTTATTCTACCATTTTGGAGGAATTTCTTCTACTTTTTCGGAGGAATTTCTTCTACCTTCTCGGAGGGATTTCTTTTACCTTCTCGGAGGGATTTCTTCTACCATTTCGGAGGAATTTCTTCTACCTTCTCGGAGGAATTTTTTCTACCTTCTCGGAGGGATTTCTTCGACCATTTTGGAGGAATTTCTTCTACCATTTTGGAGGAATTTCTTCTCATTCTCGAAGGAATTTCTTCTACCTTCACGGAAGAATCTCTTCTACCTTCTCGGAGGGATTTATTTTACCTTCTCGGAGGGATTTCTTCTACCATTTTGGATGAATTTCTTCTACCTTCTCGGAGGAATCTCTTCTACCTTCTCGAAGGAATTTCTTCTACCATTTCGGAGGAATTTCATCTACCTTCTCGGAGGAATTTCTTCTACCTTGTATGAGGAATTTATTCTACCTCCTCGGAGGAATTTCATCTACCTTCTCGGAAGGATTTCTTCTACCTTTTCGGAGGAATTACTTCTACCTTCTCGGAGGAATTTCTTCTACCTTCTCGGAGGAATCTCTTCTACCTTTTCGGAGGGATTTCTTCTACATTCTCGGAGGAATTTCTTCTACCTTTTCGGAGGAATCTCTTATACCTTCACGGAGGAATTTCTTCTACCTTCTCTGAGGAATTTATTCTACCTTTTCTGAGGAATTTATTCTACCTTTTCTGAGGAATTTATTCTACCTTTACGGAGGAATTTCAGCTACCTTCTCGGAGGGTTTTTTCTTCTACTATTTTGGAGGATACTCTTCTACCTTCTCGGGGGATTTCTTCTACCATTTCGGAGGAATTTCATCTACCTTCTCGGAGGGATTTCTTCTACCATTTTGGAGGAATTTCTTCTACCTTCTCGGAGGAATTTCTTCTACCTTCTCGGAGGAATCTCTTATACCTTCTCGGAGGAATTTCTTCTAATTTCTCGGAGGGATTTCTTCCACCATTTTGGAGGAATTTCTTCTACTTTCTCGGAGGAATTTCTTTCTACCTTCTGAGGAATTTCTTCTACCTTCTCTGAGGAATTTATTCTACCTTCTCGGAGAAATTTCTTCTAATTTCTTGGAGTAATTTATTCTACCTTCTCTGAGGAATTTCATCTACCTTCTCGGAGGGATTTATTCTACCATTTTGGAGGAATTTCTTCTACTTTTTCGGAGGAATTTCTTCTACCTTCTCGGAGGGATTTCTTTTACCTTCTCGGAGGGATTTCTTCTACCATTTCGGAGGAATTTCTTCTACCTTCTCGGAGGAATTTTTTCTACCTTCTCGGAGGGATTTCTTCGACCATTTTGGAGGAATTTCTTCTACCATTTTGGAGGAATTTCTTCTCATTCTCGAAGGAATTTCTTCTACCTTCACGGAAGAATCTCTTCTACCTTCTCGGAGGGATTTATTTTACCTTCTCGGAGGGATTTCTTCTACCATTTTGGATGAATTTCTTCTACCTTCTCGGAGGAATCTCTTCTACCTTCTCGAAGGAATTTCTTCTACCATTTCGGAGGAATTTCATCTACCTTCTCGGAGGAATTTCTTCTACCTTGTATGAGGAATTTATT